TCAGTCACTGTATCATTCCCATAGTGCCATTTGTGTTACTTCATTCAACTACTACTGTTATTCTAAATGTATAAAAACAGATATTCAAATGTGTCAGTGTGTCCAACCTTTCCACTGGTAGTGTGTATATACAGGCCTGTATAAACAGCAGAGAGTGTCTTTGAAACATTTGGCATCCGTTTATTTGAGGTAAGAAGGTTTTGGCTTTGGAAATAACTTTGCATGGAAAATAAAGTGCATTGCATGTCAAAAAACGAATGAAACCCAATTTCCGCCACAGAATATAAAAAATGAATGTCTCAATTCAAACTTTTCTTCTCGGAAATCTCAATTCTGTTTTTTTAACAGAATAAAAAAGGTAATTGCGACTTTTTATCTTACAATTATTACTTTTTTCTCACAATTGCAAATTTATATCTGGAAATTCAGACAAAAAAAGTCTTGTGAGATAAAAAGTTTTTTATTTTTTATTTTTTTTATCCCGTGGCAGAAACAAACTTCCATAGAAACCTGTTGTGGAACTCTGACTTAAGTGGAAAATGTTCTTGTGAATAAACAATGAAATTCCATGCATATCTTTAGTTGCTCTGACTCTCATAGAGTGTTGAAGCTTTGACAGCAGCTGGAGGCTTCACAGCATTACAGCAGGAGACCGTATGACCAGATCTGTCTTTCTGCTCAGACGTGCTAACATGATGCATATGTTAAAGTCATTAAGTTAAAGTAATTTTGGCGTGTATGCAGTTCCAGTTTTGACAGGAGGATCAAATAACACGGTGTGAATGTAAGTGCGGTGGAAAGCACATCTCTTAGAGCTCATCCTATAGTTTTGCTTTCTCTTGTGCTCAGGTGGTGCAGCGGATCAAAGCCGTGGAACATGAGACCAGACTGCTGGTGGTTGATCGAGAGACTGACGAGTACTTCCGCAGCCTGCGTCTCACCTGCACGGAAGAAATGGCCATCCAGATGAGTCCTGCAGCCACGACCCCGTCTCCCTCACCGTCCACCAGTAAACAGGGCAACGGCTCGGTGTCCAAACGACTTGAGATCTCCAAACCCATCAGGAAACCTCCGTCACGAGCTCCTAAGAAGGTATGGATCCATTCGCTATCTGCCGACACTAGGTGACTTAATTTCTTCAGTAGAACAGTAAAGAAGATTTTTAGCTGAAACCGTGGTCCTTGGTGATTCATAAAATGCAAGTCAGCAGCTGTCCATTTTTAAAAATAAAAAAACAGCATATCAAGGAACTCAAAATTAATACCTGTGGCTCCTGACGATATATTGAGATCTTATGAAGCGAAACGATCAGTCTGTGCAAGAAACTGAACATTATTTACAAGATTACCTGTAATCCAGAGCCTCAGGCAAATGGTCTGGAGTGATGCCCGAATGAATCATTCTTTTTAACCAGTTCTTTTTGCTGAACTAGTCGAACCAGTTCACCAAATCAAACTGAACCATCTGAAACTGTTCGTGGCTCAAGTTACTCAAAACTCACTTACGACAGTGCCTGACAGTCACTCCGAATGAGCTAAAATACCGGCATGTATCCTATGTTCCTGCTTTTTGCCAACTCATTCAGTGCTCCAGTTCTTCCAGCAGTCACTGAACGGAGGAAACCGTTCCGACTCAGAACGAAGCCCGATGAGCCAGTGATATGTGCGTGCGTGAACCCAGCACTTGAAGATTTTATGGTTTCTCTTTGTTTATGTAAAAATGTGAGCTGATGAAGACTAGTTTATTCACTTTATATGCATCCATGTTTTGCATCATTACCGGGTGCTTTAATAATGGCGTAATCATTGCGTGATTACATAAACGAACTAGTGAATTGAATTGTTTCATTGAAACTTACTGACAGAACCAATTCATGGAAAATAATCGAATTTCCAAGTTGCCTGAAGTTATGGATTGCAGCTTATAATGTCATAAATAATGTTCAGTTTCTTGGACAAAGCGATCGTTTCGCTTCATAAGACCTTGGTATATCGTCAGGAGCCACTGGTATTCATTTTGGGTTCCTTTTATATGCTTTTGTTTTATTCTCAAAGACGGGCAGTCGCCGACGTATTTCGTATTTTATGAATCATCAAGAACCACGGTTTCCGCTAAAAATCTTCTTTACTGCTCTACTGAAGAAAAAAAGTCATCTACATCTTGGGTGGCCTGAGGTCGAGTAAACTAACAGCAAATTTAGATATTTGGAGGTACTATCACTTTAAGAACTTTTCACTGAATATGAAGACTAGTTTATTCACTTTATATGCATCCATGTTTTGCATCATTATCGGGTGCTTTAATAATGGCGTAATCATTGCTTGATTACATAAACGAACTAGTGAATTGAATTGTTTCATTGAAACTTACTGACAGAACCAATTCATGGAAAAGAATCGAATTTCCAAGTTGCCTGAAGTTATGGATTGCAGCTTATAATGTCATAAATAATGTTCAGTTTCTGGTTCTTTGGGGGAACCCAAAAATGGTTCTTCTGACATCACTTTTGGAACCTTTGTTTTTAAGAGTGTAGAACCTTTCAATTAACCCACATTGTCAGCCCTTCTCTCTCACATGAAAAATAAATGCATGTCTTCAGGTCATGAACATCTGGATGTTTTAGGACAGCTGGCCTGAGTGACGTCACCAGAGTTATATCTAGTTCTCACAGACTGTTTTTTAGAGGTTATTGATTAGTTTTTCCTATTGAGTCTCAGAGAAAGTGTGTTTGGTCATCATGTATGCTGCCATAATCATGGATTAATGGGTTAGTTTGTTGAGTTTAAGACAATAATGAGTTATGTGAGTAACTCAGATATTATCTTGTTGGCTCTGTCATGGATGGTCAGTGTCCAAGATGTGACGCTGTAATGGTTTTGTAGTAAATGTGCTGCTCTGTGTGCATGTGTGAGTTTCTCCAGTACATTACCATGTTTCCCACGGCTTATTCATTTAGGAAAATCAGTCTCTGGATTTTGACCTTTTAAAAGGATGAATGATTCCGTCCAGGAATTACTTCAGTGATTGTTCCACAATTTTTTTTTATTCCTGAAACATCAGCACTATATATTCATTTCAATTTAAGTTTATTTTGTACAAAATACATATTGTTTCAACTCATATGCTGTGTATACATACTACTTTTACTTGAAGTGAATTCGTTTTTGGTTTGCATTAATAACACCTTTACATTCTCAGATTTTAGCACATTGCTACAGTATGTGGTTGCTAGGGATGGTTGTTAGGATGTTCTGAATGAGTGTTATGGGTGGTTGCTAGGGTGCTTTGGGTGGTTGCTAAGTGGTTGTTTATGTGCTCAAGTCAAAAGTGCCTACACGAAATCTCAGATTCAGGTTTTTTTTTTTTACCCATTTTAATGTTTTCCAGGCAAATTGGCTTAGTCTGATGAGACAGGGAAGCACTAGCACATCTCTCCTCAACAAGCCACATGATTTGAGGAATCGTTTATGTCTGTAGCACAAACATTTCTGGACAGGTTAATTGCTGAAGTGTATAATACTAAGGGTCAGGGGTTTGTTTAGCCATTAAAAGTGTGGTTTTTAACATCTGTAAGCAAGTGTAGATCATGTTTGAAGATATTACATTGCAAAAAATGGCCGCCATTCGTCTGTTAATGCAATATTTGTATAAGATCTTAAATATTATATTTGTCTTTTCTTCAGCCTAATGCATGCATCCAACATCTGCTCTCACTTAAAGCCCACTTTCCAAATGGGTTTGCATAATTCACTGCTGTTTCAACAAGATGGAGTGGAGTGGGAAAGATAGTGGGTGTGTTACAGCCACATGTGTGTGATAATGTTAAATATGACATTAAAACCGTTAACATCGCAGCAGCCCACTGGGTCAAAACCGAACGGTTTCTGATATCCATCAGAAGATGAACAGAGCAGAGCTCATCGTCAGACGTTTACACAGGACAACATCTGCAAATCTGAGCCTTCGTTGGTAAAGCACTTGATTTTACTCACAGATTTAGATTCCTTTTTGGCAATCCAACTCAAGTTGAATAAAATGCAAAGAGAAATCTTGGAAGATGAAAGTAGGATGTAGTAAAAATGTTTCATTTCACCCCAAAATCATCCTTTTTTTCTTTAGATTTTTGGAGTGATGTATGACCTGAAGATGTTCTTGATGGTGTTTAAATCACTCATATGTGGTTCTTGAGTTGCTTTATGGTACGTTGGAGATTTAAAAAGTTCTTAATGTTGCGTTTTAGGTTCTTTAGATCAATGTTTTGCGTTCTGTGTTCTTCTAAGAACAGAACTGAAGAACAAAATGTTCTGTGTGGAACTTTAACGTTCTCATCAAGCTGTTAAATGTGTTTTGCTTCTAATTCCAACATTTGTTTTCATAACATACATTCTGATAAACTCAAAGTTTGACTAATTGTGTGGAAGGATAATGTCCAGTTCTTTAAAGGGGTCATATGATGTTGCTTAAAAGAACATTATTTTGTGTATTTGATGTAATGAAATGTGTTTATGCGGTTTAAGGTAAAAAAAAACACATTATTTTCCACATACTGTACATTATTGTTTCTCCTCTATGCCCCGCCTTTCTGAAACGCGTCGATTTTTACAAGGCTCCACTTAGACTTATGCTCTCCTATACTCACATAATAACCTCTCCCTTCTAAGTATGACCTGAACCATTTGATTACCAACCCAGAAAACCCGACCCAGTTTTCCAGTCTCTCTAGAAGTATTTTATGATCGACCGTGTCAAATGCAGCACTGAGATCTAGTAGTACCAGCACTGATATTTTGCCAGAATCAGAATGTAAGCAAATATCATTTATTATCTTAATGAGCAATACATATCCATGCTACTTGATATTTGCAGTTTCTGTGCTTCTAGTTTTATTAGCCTTATAGAGCAGTTCAACACTAAACTGCACAGATTTAAGGTCTACATTTTTTAATAATTACAGTTTGACTTTGTTTTTTCTTTCTGGGATTTTTTGCCTGTTTTATCATTTGCCTGGTGAAAATTTAAGCTTGATCGCTTCGTGAAGTAACAGACATGCACTAATTATTGACAGATTAGCTTGTTTACAAATTACATTAATTGTTCTGCCTTCTCCCATTGTTATTGATGATTATTAATTATTATTAATATTTTCAGCTCTAATCAATAGAATAATGAAGACACTGCTGGTGGTCCTTGTTCTTGTTCTGACGTTGAACTACGGTGAGTTTAGAGATGCTACTTTAAAAGGTTAAACCTTAACGTGATTCAGAGTGTTATTTTAGTAACATTGAGAGACTATTATAGTTATTTAATATAATTATGTATTTTCTTCTGTTTTCATTTGAATTTTATTTAATGTTTAATAAATCTGTTGTGTGTTTTGTCATTTTTATTAGTTTGTAATTTGTAAAGTCTATACATTTTTATTCCAGTTATTTCTGTACATCAAGTTAAACTAAATGAAAATTCAGAAATGTTTCCTTGGCAACCTAGTTAATATATGCATGTGATATATGACTCTGATTGTGCAAACTCTGATTTGGTGATGATGCATGCACTGTGTGTTGCAGGATCTGCACTGAAGTGCAACCACTGCGTTCCTCAGGGTGGAACACGCTGCACATCAACTCAAGAGACCTGTGGCTTTGGAAAAGATGCTTGTATCGCGGCCAGATTCAACTTCCCTCCCTGTGAGTTTAACCTTCCTGTCAGCTTCCCACTGTAGAAAAATACAAACGCATAACTTTATTCGAAAATGTTAACCTCAAAATTTCAAATTTAATTCACAATCACATTTAATTCAAAAATCACCGCAAAAATTGAAACATACAAATATAAAAAATACAAATATTTGTATATAAAAATATAAAAACCAATTCAAACTATTAATAAAAACGATAATTTTATCTCAGTGATGCTAAAACAACACTGACATGGACGCTAATAAACTGAAGCAGCTGTAATGTGATTCTTTACATTGTAAATGCTCTATTTGTGATTAGATAAAATCATGACATGCATAAATGTCAAATATGTTTTGATTTCTCTGTTTCTTCTAGTCATGGGCTTTCGGAGATGCAGCAGTATGACAGAGTGTCTTATTCTCCAGAGTAACACCGCCATGAAAGTTAAATGCTGCCATTCGGACCTCTGCAATAACATGGTCATCATTTAGACCAACGTCTGTCAACGCTAATAAACCTTTCAAGGTTTACAATATTACAGATGTTCACTACAGTCTTACTTAAAGATTTTGCCCAACAATAAATATTATGATACATAATATGGGTTACTGATGTTTGTGATTCATTTTAGCATTTGCAACAGATGAATGATTGAATATGTGAGCAGTTTAAATAAAACGTAAATAATTAAAATGTAAGATTTTGAATAGATGTACTTTTTCTGAAATTCTAAAGTGAAATGAAGTTATTGCACCAGCTAAATGGCCGTTTCCTTATTAATAACAATGACTCTCAAAAATCAAGATACAGATCGTATTGCTTTTATGTGAATAAATACATACAGGTTTCTAGTTTCAACATTTGTTCTTCAGACATTCCCTGTTAAATACATATCAGCTGTATGCAAAGTGACCTACAGTGCTCGACCACTGAAAATGGATTCAACTACTTGCATGGAGCAACACTGAGGTTCCTAAGTAGTTTCGCTTTCACAACGAAACACACAGCGTCTCCACAACAGTGAGAATAAAAGTTACGCCTTCTTTCTTTGCGTGAACGTTTGGGCGGCGTTATGCAAATCTTCTCACATCGTGACGTAGACATGTGGGGTGTGTTAGAACGAGCCGTTTTAGGTAGGCGTGGTTGACTCTTAACTTTTATAAAGAATATCTCTTTGGATTTGAGACTTTGCAACTTTACAGATCTTCTTTATGCACCAAGAGCTTGTAACACTCCAAAGAGAAAGGAAAAATTGAAATCGCATCATATGACCCCTTTAAGTAGAACCTCCTTCTTTAGAGGACATGGAAATGTTCTTCTCCAAAATGTCCAATAATAATAGTCTTTGGATTTGGTGATTGGAAAAACCATATTCTGGTGTTCCAAAACCACTAGGTTGTGTTTAGCCATGTGTATGTGGGACGTCTTCCTGTACAGTGGCCTCATATTGGCTGATATTATTGCCCATACAGACCTATCATTGGACTTGATGATTCCCCTCAGTGTTTAACAGTTGCTTGTATTGAAAGCATCCATTGACTTTCTCCAGACGTGGATAGGAAAGTGTAGGAAAGTGATGACTCATAAAACCATACTCCCATCAGACCATTGCTTAAGGTTCCAGGTTTGGTGCCTCTAACACAAATTATCCATCTCTGTGTGTTGATCTTGGATACAAGAGGATTTTGAATAGTCGCCCTGCCATAAAGTTGTCTTGTGAAACTCTCCATTTACAGTGCTGAGTCAAAAGTGATTCATATCTGGGGTCATTTTTGAGGCTCTTCTTTTGTAATATTCATTAACTATCATCTCCATTTATCATATAGAATTTTAGTTTTTGTTCATAACCCACAGTAACGTTCAAAGGTTTGGTGTTGGTATGTTTTTTAAATGTTTTTGAAAAGTCTTTTATGCTCATGAAGGCTGCATTTATTTGATCAAAAATACGGTAAAACAGTAATATTGTGAAATATTTTTTACATTTAAAATAACTGTTTTCTGTTTGAATATATTTTAAAATGTAGTTTATTTCTGTGATCGGGGCATGTTGTCACACTATAACAGAAATTTTAATTAATAAATTGTATAAAATGACAACATATCAAACACAGGTGACAACTTGCCCCAACAAAATGTGACCACCAACAGTTTGTTGTCTTAAAAACACTTTCCATGGTTTCCACTTCTACATGTGACAACTAGCCCCAGTGTCACATGACCTCATGCAGCATCTTCAGGACAGTTAGTATCAGAAAGAAGCACTTATGAAGCGCAACGACATTATAAAACCTCGCAGGTAGGAAATAGAGGCTGTCTTTGGAAGCATGTTGTGTGTGTGTGTGTGTGTGTGAGATTGAGGTGATATGGGAGTCCTGAGCCATAAAGGAAGGGGTAGAAACCTTAAACTCACACCATTTGAAGAGGGTTTGTGTGAATTACCATGAATTGTTGCTCCACACAGAGTGAAATGAGGAAGAAGAAACTGAGGTAAATACATGTAGACTTTAATCAGAATCAGTGTCTGTCCAAAAGTAATAAGTGCGGAATAATTCACATACAAATATAATTCACAAAACGTGACCACCAACAGTTTGTTGTCTTAAAAACACTTTCCATGGTTTCCACTTCTACATGTGACAACTAGCCCCAGTGTCACATGACCTCATGCAGCATCTTCAGGACAGTTAGTATCAGAAAGAAGCACTTTATGAAGCGCAACGACATTATAAAACCTCGCAGGTAGGAAATAGAGGCTGTCTTTGGAAGCATGTTGTGTGTGTGTGTGTGTGTGTGAGATTGAGGTGATATGGGAGTCCTGGGCCATAAAGGAAGGGGTAGAAACCTTAAACTCACACCATTTGAAGAGGGTTTGTGTGAATTACCATGAATTGTTGCTCCACACAGAGTGAAATGAGGAAGAAGAAACTGAGGTAAATACATGTAGACTTTAATCAGAATCAGTGTCTGTCCAAAAGTAATAAGTGCGGAATAATTCACATACAAATATAATTCACAAAACGGTTTAGTATGACATTCTGCACATGGATATCATGCAGTCTCTAGGTATATACTTCAAAAATTTGATTACACTAATCTGGAAAACTAACTATCCAGCTAGTTCTTCCTCAAAAGAAAGTATTTATTTAGTTATTTAGTTATTGTTGTATAGATATTTATTTTATTTATTGTTCTATAATTTTATTTGTTTTATTTGTATTTTTAAATATTTATTTATTGTTTTATTTGTTTGTAATTTCTATTGAATGTTTATTTCGTTTTTTGATTGTTTCTTATTTATTTATTGTTTTTTTTATTGTTTTGTTTTATTTTAGAATTTAAAAAAATCAAAAATAAACATGTGGCAAGTTTTTATAAGAATACTCTTCTGAAATATATATTTAATTCCCAACCAGAATAAGTGCTTGCTTGTTTTTGTTGGCCTTTTAACATTTTTTCATACTCAGCAAATTGTCAGATTCAGCCATCTGAGAAGGCATTTGGACTCCTTACATCTTTCCCTTGAATTTTTTTCCTTCAAGGAGCTCTAGGTAAAGTTACATGCAAAAGAAAGCATTTTGAATACTGATCCAGTCACTAATCCAGCAGATCCATTGTACAGATCTTCCATAGCGCTTTATAAATATTTGATGATTTTACAGTTGTTATTTCAGAGTAGTCCTTTTCCAGCTGTTGCTCATATGGAGGAATTACATGATCGTTTGAAGCTGTTCTCAAGATGTCCGGGGATTTCACAATCTACCGAATGTTCATAAAACAGCAAACTGAACAAGCAGTGGGATACTTAGAAAAAACAGCCCTGTTCCCATCCTTAGCTATTGTGGGATAGCTTATTGGCGCTGGGATTGTCTGGCTTCCTTAAACTCTGTTCAAGTGTTTAAATCACAGTCACATGCAAGACAACAGCCTGAAGCTGTTACACAACACTTCAGCTCAGTGACAGCACTGGATCTTTACTACTGTCCCTTTAAAGTTGCTGGATGTATCTATAGAAACCATATATTTTAAGTTTATCGCAAAATATGCATATATATGTGTATATGTATGTGTAATTTACATCATTCGCAGTGCTTCATTGGAGTGGGCGGAGCTAAAAAATAAAAACTGGCCGACCAATGAGAGCGCCATCTAATGTCAGGGAGTGAATTTGCACGTTCACTCGGCTCATCGCCTGCAAAAAAAGCTTGGGTATGAACACAAAAGACATGTCGAAAAACATCGGCGATAAGCACGCGCGATAATCGTCCCGGTGTGTACGAGGCTTAAAGCTGTTAAGTACAAACTCTAGTACAATTTTTTGTTCAATTTTCACATACTTTTTTGCTTCAAATAAAAGTTTGTAATGTTGTGGTAAATCTCATAGCTGCTTAGTTTGGTTCATGGCTTGCAACGCTTTGACAAAGACTTTTCTAAATCCCTATGGGAAAAATGAATGGAGAAAAAAAAAAACTTCTGGAACCAGCACAGCTAAAAAAAAAAGTGGGCGGTCACTTATGCACTTTGTTTGTTTGACTGATCAGGTGAGTCGTAAAGAGACTGTTCACCCAAAAATGAAAAGTCATCATTTACTCACCCTCATGTCATTTCAAACCATATCTGTGCAAAAAAAAAAAAAAAAAATTGTGTTTGTCCATATAACGAAAATCAAAGAGATGCATTTTTGTTTTGGACCCCACTGACTTCCATTGTACAGATAAAAACGGTCCTCAAATGTTTTCTTTTCTCTTCTGCAGATAAATTAAGTCATACAGGTTTAGAATGACGTGAGGGTGAGTAAATGTTGACAAAATATCAATTTTGTGCTTAAATATTCCTTAAAAATGGAGAATAATTTTTGTTCATGCAGCTCGCAGGCAAAGTTCAGGCTGTTGAACGAGGCCGTTTAAAAAAGTTAAACACACTTCTCTTGTCTGGAGGTGCTGACAGTCATCTGGGTCAGAGAATGTGAGATCTGGAGCGATGCTGCACTGACCTACTTCCACACACGCTCGTGATGAATGTAGGTGATCGAAACGGATCCTGAAGGCTCCGGTTCCCCAATCTTTTTTTCTCCTGCTTGTTTTTCAAACATCTTTTTTCGCTGGCATGAATGAATCCATTTGCTTCGGCATCACACATCTGTCTAAACAAACACGATATGACTGAATGTTTGAGTGCAAGAGATGAGTGAGGATAAACTCTGGCCTAGTCATGGCATACAGATCACCTGTATATCGTCCATGAGCCGAGAGGCTGATTTTCGTCTGGTGTATTGAAACATAAGCATCATGGGAAAGTTAGAGCCATACGTCTGAACTCAAACATGCAGGTAAAGGTTCACGTGACAGGCAGCGTTTGGATGTCTGCGTACTTGAACATCACTCAGTGTGGTTGGATCATTAGTGGACTAATATCCCTGTAGGCATGTACCAGCCAAACTGCTCTTAAAGGCAATTTTGGCTCCATATTTCCATGGAAACTAACTGAATGTTATGCGCTTTCAATTTCAACACGCTGATGTGCGGTTTCACCTTATAAAAATGACTCCTATGTGGTCCGCTATTGTTTTTGTCGCCTTTCTGCTCTGCTTGACTGAGTGATTGTGGTTTGACTCATCACAGTTTGGCTGCATTATGCCGTTTGGAT